CTCTGTGTCATATATTCTACTTTCCCTTTCTTTGATTAGCTATAGGTTCACCACAAGAAAATCATTTTGCTGAATTAGATGATCTATCTGATAATTTACGTCCTGGAATGATAGATATCTCTTGAAGATATCAGATGGGAGTGCGAGGAACCTGGAGTTTCTCGTAAAGGTGGTCGACCTGGAGCAGGCCGTGGGATTAAGAAGTCTATGCCTCGTGGTGGTGCAATATCTGGTGCAGGACGTGGAAGGGGGACCTTAAAGAGTCAGTCAAAGAAAGATTTCCCGCCAGCACAAAATGGCATTGGGAAGAAGGCGTTAGGAGATATCGAGATCCTTCATACAGATACTCTAATTAAAGAGGTATGGGTGCATATGTAAGATTTTGCTTTCATCTAACAATCTAATTGATATGCACCTCTCTGATCATGTTAAATTTCAATAGGTGGAAAAAGTTTTTGGTTCAAGTCATCCTGATCCAATGGAAGTTGAGAAAGCAAAGAAAGTGCTAAAAGTAAGAATCCTGCACGTTCTTTCATTTTCATTTAATATTAATCACTGTAGAAATTGACAGATTCCATGTATAAATTATAGGAGCATGAACAAGCTCTAGTCGATGCGATTGCGAGGCTTGAAGATGCATCTGACGGTGAAAGTGGTAATAACTAATCACATATAACCATGTTTTATATTTAGATAATAAAGAGTGCCACCATCTGTTGTATCATCTAATTGTAGTTTTTGGATTATTCAGATTTTTACATGTACCAGTTGTATACAAATCTTTTTCCCAATACAATTAGTAGGCTTTCTGAATTAAGCTTTTTAGCCTATTGGGTCTCCATATGATTTGCCTGGAAAGTAAATCCAGCCGTGCACAGAGCTTTGTGTTTGTTTTTACCTGAAACTCTCTTTTTCATTGATGTGCGGGCTGAATTCTCCTATCTGTAAATCCTGAGATAGAGGAAGAAACTTCATTTACATATATAATCAACTACTATGTACTATTGCTATATTTACTACATTACATATATAGAAAATGGCAAATAGCATTAGCTTCATCGATGATGGGAAAAAAAATGCCATTGTTGTTATTTTTTCTTTTGTTTTTGTTTTTCTTTTCCATTTTTGTTTGGCCTTTTAAAATCAGATGAGGGAGGACTACGCCCCTTTTCACAATCAATGGATCAAGGATGGAGAAAAGGGCGTTTTGATGAACAAGGTGGCGGCGGCACCGACGGCGTTAAAAGGGCAAGAGAAGTCGAAGACCGCCAAGTTGTGGCGGATGGCATGTAATTCTAGCTGTGTTTTTTTGCGTAGCAGCAAGTGATAGTAATGTGTCTGTCCCGTAGAAATACCCGTTATGTTTTGTTGAAGGGTTATTAGGTTAAGTTCTCTGTATGTTTTAACTTAAAATGTGCCTTTAAAATCTGTAAAAATTTATGTTTTAAAGCGCACAACTCTGACGACTTTGTAAAATTGACCTTCAGAATTCCTATAATTATAGACTAATTATTTCAATTTTCTATATGTATGTAGATGTGTTCCTACTGTGGTACTTTGGCTATGACTGACTATGATAGAATATTTGGTGAGTAGTAGTTCTAACGAAGTCATTATGTTTCGCCATAAGAGTAAGTTTCTTTAATATTACTCTAAAATATTAGAAGAAAATTACTTTGGAAACATAAGGACTCCGGTAGAACCAGGAAACTAATATGGGCATCTGGAGGATATTCATTGTGATTGCAGAGAAGAAGCAGTTCAACTTTTTAATCTCCTGCAAAAGTTAAAAACAAAATATTTGAAGTCAGCATATACTAACAAACACCCACAAAGGATATATATATATAGATATATATATGGGTACTGAATGGCACAACAATTTGGATGAACTTGGAGCAGTTGTCCTATCTATAATGATGCAATGAATTCAAGGATAAGATTCACCATCTGAGCATCATATGCAGGACCCTCCATTTCGAAATGGCTAACTCCTTCGATTAGATGAGTTTCGGTACTACCTGCTGCTGTCCTTAACTTGTTTTTCAGCTGCTTCACACTTGTAAATCCATCTCGTGTTCCCATTACAAAGAGCTTCGGCTTCGGAGAATGCAAGATGGCCTTGTGGTGCCGGCCAAAGAGGATAGAAGCCATCATGCCAAAAGGGTATCCTAAGCTTACATATCCTACGACTTGCTCGATTTCATCAACTGCGGAACCTGCAATTGGCGAACCTGCAAAAGATATCAAATTCATTGTAACACTCCCAACAAATGCATTTTACAGCCGAACTATCCTCTGATTATTGTCTTGCAAAAGCAAACATTTCATTGCAGAGATTCAAACTAGACTATATTATGCTATACAAACGCTCGTTATTCTCAAGCATCATATACCAACAGGAGCAAGAACATGAATGTTACCGAGTAATTACAACATATTAAGAATATTGTAACGGAAGTCAATTGCATCAGTAAGGAAAAACTCTGTTAAGAAACATATAATCTGAATGACAGTCATATAGAAAACGCAGTTTAGAAATTGCAGCCAAATTTTGCAAGCAAAGCAAAAAACAAATGAACGAATCATTTGATCAGTCAACCAGTCACTCTTCTTCAGGACCATAAATGCTTCTTCAAAAGTCCTTCCTCTCCTCCCCTCTCCCCTCTCCCCTCTCCCCTCTTCTCCATAATGAACTTATGTTTAAAGGAGTAGCTTTGCATTGTTTTTGGATCAAGTTTATTCTGTTCCAATTCTATGCCTATATATCATAATTATACATTTGATATACGATTGAAGAAACTTTATCCATACCTTCAACTCCACAACAATAGATTTATATTCTCAATTGGTAATGAAGAAATTACAGAAACACAAAAGTCAAATTAGATATTAATTTAACTTGAAAGAAAATTAAGCACAAATGTTATTTTTGCTGAGATTGTTATCTCATTCCATATAATTTGAAGTTGAAGTCAAATATAATCTCCAGAAAAGTTCATGACCCACCATGTAAAATTTTCTAATCACCAAATATTACTACACTTTCAACACAAACCATAGAATTACCATTAACCAAAACAAGAATTATGATAAGACCTTAGCAGCACCTCATAAGAAGAAAAGAGCACAGGAATTAGGAGTCCGATTCAATTAAAAACCATCAAGAAGCAGGAAGATAAAAATCTCAACTTTCTCAAACTTCCAAAATCAGAAAATTGGTACTCAAAACCTATGAAATTACAGAGAAATTAATCATAAAAACACCTATAGAGCCACAAAGAAGTTAAACAGATAGAGGGGTTTTCTTTCTCCTCTTCCTCTTTTTCTTCTCCACCTTTTTCTCAGAAGACTAGTCAAAAAAATTGTCTGAAAATCATTACAACCTACCACCAATTTCACAGATCTAAAAGGGGAAT